AAGCTCACGGGAATAGAAAAAGAAGAGAGCCAACCAAGTCTCCAGAGTTTTCTTTCATTTCTTCTCATCTCCACGTGTTCATTATCCTATATAAAGGGAAGATAAAAATCCTTCCTTTAAAAAGATAATTTTACCCCTTACTTCATTCAATATTTACTAAGCAATCCCTCACAAAATATTCCCAATTAAATCCCTGAACTTTTAACTTATTTCAAAATTGAGCACAAAGTTTTCAAAATTTACATTTTAGTCACTAGCTTGGTTTTTTGGATGTTACAATCACTTCATTTGAATTATCTCTTTTGATTCTTCTAAAGTCAAATGAAGATTATACATATTTAGTCACAAAAATAATTTACTAATAATAATTAAAATAATTTATTGATAGTTACAAGATCCATATCTTTAGGATTTTGGTTCCTTATTTTCAAGAGATTGTGGAAATCAAACCCGAATTAACAACTATTCGGTTTGGAGAATCTTCTCATTTCAGCTTCATTAGCCCCATATTTCTCCAAAATATTATACATGTCACGTGTCTTGATAAATTTCTAAAAGAAAATTATTAGTACGATAAAAATACTCGCAATTATTTTCACCTTAGTTTTCAGGAACTGTATAATCTTACCCACATATGAGAATAAATAGCTGCTCATTTCCACATGCATTATCTCTCATATTAAAACGTTAATGTAAAACTTTAGTCACATTTAAAATGTAAAACCTTAATCAACATTTAAACGTTTCTATGCACCAACCGTTTAATGTTATAATACACCATAGTTTTAACATTTCTTTCACCATGCATGTAACAAATGAGCATTTCTGTAACAATTCAAAATTTATTATAAAAATAATAATTAACCAATTTCAACATTCTCCTAAACCAAGAGCCAAACGAGAACGAGTGAAACCACTATCGGTTAATACTTCAATATGTATATTACTTTGTAAATAAACACCATTAATGCTAGCATTAATTTGAACAATTAATACCCACTTAAAATTATTCAACGCTTCAATTCAAACCTATTTACAAAGTAATATAAGTCCATTATTTAAAGCTATAATAAATGCATTGAATTGTTTCAGCCCAAACCATGAATGGTTAATTACATTAATAACAACAAACGTATCAAAACAATTCCACAAACGCTTTCTATGTATCATTACCTGTTTACCACTCTTTAAATAAAGCGTTCTTTTAGATGTTTGAAGCGTCCGGTAATCTTAAACATTTTCTAAACGTTTGAATATATATTTTCATATATGTATTAAACAAATACCCATAGTTTCAATGTTGTCACCTAAAAGAATATTGAAACCACTAAGATCCAGTTGAGCGTTTAAAGCATTTCAACGTTCGCATCGTATTTGTTTCAATGATTTGTTTTACTAAATCAACCGATATCTATCATCATCAAAGCAGCAGCAATGTTTATTCATAAACAAAATTCTTTCAATAGCATGGATTCTTTAAATAGAACTTTTCAACAGCAATAGCAATAGCAATACCTCAGTTTTGACAAGTATGGATTCTTTCAACAGCAGCAATTGAATTCGATTCTAAATTGATGAAAAATAGACTGATGTAAAACGAGATGTTAGCATTTATTGAAAATATTAAGTAAAATATTTAAATAGAACGATAATCGTGCCGTGGTAATCCAGTGCCCCAGAGCGAATTAGTCCCGATGTGTATAATCGCTACAATAGATGAATGGCCCACGATGTTAGCACGACTATCCAAATTTCATACACCCAAAAAATGAAGAGGACTTGGTGATATTGCTCTTCTCTGAACTCAAACAACAATCAAAAGAGAGTGTTTCAAGGCTAAATAGTGAGGATAAAAATGTCATTTCAGACACACAATTTAATTCTATTTTAAATAGAATAAAATACCATTATGAAATGGTTACATTTTTTAGCATTAACTAATAGCCTCGACTCGAAACCGGAAAATTTAAAGATAAAATTTAAATTATAAAATATAACTCAACAACTTGAATAAATTATTTTTTTTATCCGACTCTATCGAATATTTATCCTTATCTATTTATGAATATCTTAATAATTTTTTTAGGGTGAATTAATATTATTATTACATCGTTGACCGACTATATTATTTTTGTCCTATAGTACAGATCATAGAATAATAACTGTAGGGTTGCCCTTAATTTGGAGAATGATTACATATAAAATCATACAACATTGAAGAATGCATGATTTATATAATGCAAGTTATGGAGAACGGCTGGTATTAGATTAGGAAGTATTCATTTGCCCCTCAATTTCCAAGTGACTCGCAAATCAACATCTTAGAGAATATCTTCGAAGTTAGGACTTCGGAGTTTGGAAGAATATGTTTAGACATTCAAGTCTTTAAAGTTTAGAGTAATCTCTTGTTTTACGGAAAATATATTTCGGAAAATAAATTCTTAAATAAAATATATTTTTTAAAACCATTTTTAAAAATCAGTTTCCTTTAAATTTTTTATTATAACATAAAATACAATAAATAATATTATTATTAATAAAAAATAATATTATTTTTCAAATATTAAAATAATTTATTTAATATTATTTATATCAATATTAAAATTAAAATATTATATATAAAATTTTAAATAAAAATTTTAAATATTTTATTAAAATAAATTATTATAAATTATATTAATTATTTATTAAAATAAGAATAATATATTATTAATTATATTAATTAATTGCTAAAATAAAAATATTATTAAAAATAAAAATATTATATTATATTTTAAGGAGTATATTTTAAATATTAAACAATTTAATAATATTATTTTTATGAAATCAATAAATAATATTAATTTTATTAATAATTTATTATATATTATTAAAATAAAGGTATACTATTATATATACTATAATAATAGAATTATAACAATAAAAATATAATATTATATTATTAAAATTATCAATAAATATAATTTAATAATTAATATTTTCATTAAAATAATAATATATTAATATTAAATATATCGATATGTCAAAGAAAATCGATTGATAATTGAACATATTAATCAAATTTCAATGTATGAATAACTATTATGGTTCTATGTCCGACACTAATACTAAATGTCGTTAAAAAATTCTTGATAAAAACCAAAAGAAGAGGTAAGATCTCTTTCTTCCATGATTATTAATTTACCCCTTATAAAAATATAAAACTTTGACATCGATCAACGGTTAATTTTTCATCGAAATGAATGAATCAACTGTTTATAACCATCGTAGCCTATTTATCATCGTAAACAAGCCTCTTTATTATTATTTTTTTTTGCGAGGCAGTTTCCTCGACATCATTTTCCATTTGGATTCAAACTCACAAGCTGAATATCAGAAAAGGAACATAAACATGCAGTGTCATATACTTGTACTATGTTAGATCAAGGCAAGTAAATCTAATCACCTCGTGAATCATATTAGCAAATTTCATAGTAACAAATACCGGTAAAAGCATAATTATCGTTTTTCTTTAACAACTGGGAAGAAAACCGTTAGTATTATAAAGTTAAACGATGAGGAATACTCATCCAATGCATTTGCTGCATTTAAGTGGCGTCGTGTTATATGTAGTCGTTCAATTTTTTCGAGGTACAATGAATGAAATGTACATGTTACTTCATAATTTATCCTACAATACTAAAAAAATATTACATCATCTAATTTAATTTTTATCAATACAATAAAACCTATTAAGCCGCTTCTTCTTTTTCTCTCTAAACCTAGAGGTCGTCTATTCTTTCTTTTTCGTTTCTTTTGACAGGCCGCATCATTAGTTTTAGTATTAATCGTCCACAGTATATATTCCTTGTTTCTCATTTACTTTATTATATTACATATTTATTTTTCTTTTCTTTCTTTTTAGTTTCTATTAATTTTATTTTTATGACACGTTTTTCTACCTTTTATGATACGTTTTGTCGTTTGACTGATTTTTTCTTTTAGCTTTTCAAGTTTGAACTTTAGACCATCAAATTGGTCTTAGAAATGCAATTTATGTTCGCAAATAATTTTCTCACGGCGCTCGATTATTATTTGCGATTGTCTGTGGTCTTTAAGTTGTTTAATCCCCTGCTGTGGTTCGTTTGCCGATGCAGTTAAATTTATTCGTATTTATCTTTTATTTAACTTTTCTTGGATGAGTTCTAATCTTTTCCTTATACGGTCATTGTATGATCTTGGGTAACTAGTTTATTGTACCGATGATTATAAGAAAGGGTAAAGTACACAAATGGTCCCTTGAATATAGTGCATTGCTTTGTTGAGTCTCTCTATTATTAAAAGTTACAAAATGATCCTCCAACTATAGGGTAATTCTTTGTTAAGTCCATTGACCATTAAAAGTTACAAAACGGTCACCCAAACTATTCAAATGTCTTAAACTCGTCATTTTTTTTGTTAAAAATTGATAGTATTACGAGCTGGACGTTAACATGCTGACTGAAATATGATATTATTTTGAGATTTTGACAGGTTAATGAGCTCAACTTGTCGTCAATTAAAAGGAGGAGTTTGGAACAAATGAATAATTGAGTGACCATTTTATAACCTTTAATAGTCGAGGTACTCAACAAAACAACGCCCTATAGTTAGAGAATCATTCTACCTTATAAAAATATTATACTTATGAATTTAATTTCCAAACTTTATTATTGTTTTGAATATTTCTCATTTTAATAAAATTAATTACTCTATCCGCATATATATATAAATTTAGTTAATCTGATAAAATTAATAGTTCTTTAAACTATTATAAAACTGAAACCTTTTTGGGAGAGTATAAGGAACAAAAAGCAAACCGTGCTTCATTCATTTTAATTTAAACAAGAGGCATGCACTTTATATAACAAGAAAAAGGCCTTCGTTCTGTGAATCCAATACCAAATTCTAAACCAAAACGAAATATATATATATATGTGTGTGTATATATAGATATTTTTGTTAATTATAAATAAACAAATTCATGTAAGGCAGGCGGAGAAGATATAATTGATTTTAATGGCCGGCATTATTTCTGGGGGACGAGTTCGAAGGAATTTTCGAAGTCCATGTTCTGCGTATTTTTCTCCTTCCTCATAGTTCTCTAGCACTGCCTTGCTACGATCCGATTTGTTGATCCTTCAAAACTAAAATATATATATATATATATATATATATATATATATAATATATATAATATATATATATATATATATATATATATATATATATATATATATATATTATGTTGGTAATGCTCAATCCCACATAATATTGGAATTACTATTGGGAATGCTATTTAAGACTTGGCTTTCCCACTTCCTTGTTCAGTGATAGAGAACAAGAGACTCTCGCACACCGTCGCCGTCCGTCCGTCGTAGTCGTGATCGTGATAATACGTGTCTTCGACACGTACGCGCGGATACTACATTTTTAGAGAAAATTCTTGAGAAATTTAGATAAAGAAACAAATGGAAAGAGATTTAATCCTGAAATTTTATGGACAATTTTAACCTTATTTCTAGTCTATAAATAGAGGGCTATAGTCAGCTTCTCAACTCACGCTCAAACATTCACAATTCACTTACAAAAGTGTTTTCTATAGTTCTCTCTGTGAGTTCTCCCTGAGTGCTTTCCAATCAGAAGAGCAATACCACCAGCAGTCCACTCCGGTTTCGGGTGTACGGAATTCGGAGCGACCGTGTTAACCTCGGGGGACGATCTGCCTACTACAACGATTACACACATTGGAACGAATTCGTTTCTAAGGCAGTGGTTTTTATCACGACACGGTTTACGAATTTATTCCTTTTTATTACTGTTTATATTTCCAGTCAGTACTAACGGTGTAGTTTTGCAGTTCATATATCCAACATATTAAACTCGAGTAATTTTCTTAAACAGTTTTGAGTTTATAATAAGATGATATTATCTATTCAAAATTTTCTTAATATATTGATAATATACCCACATCTTATAGATACGATTGTTCGAAACTAAAATCTTAAAAAAAACATTCTCTTTTATCAGTATTTGATGGTTTCTCAAACCTATATATAACGATAATCATGTATGGAAAGTGAGTTACCTGACAGCAGGATTTAAGAAAACATTCCTCGTAAGCTGAAATACACACATGCTTGTCACAAAGGCCATTGCACCTACCAGAGGGTACACCTGAGAAAAAAAAGTATCCCATCAACCAAACAAAATAAAATCATGAAACCAAAAACAAAGGTGAAATCATTACCTCAGGCTTCATCCAACGTCCCATTGTAAAAAAACTGTTCTTTTTTACTTGCAGAAAATGAAGTTCCAAAACTGGCTGAAATTTGCAGGTTCAATTGGGGCATTTATAGTGCTACAAGATATGATGAGGAAAAGGCATCCCTTGACCTGGCTGACCAGCTAGGCCTGTATTTCAGTGGGCTACCATTTGACTTAAACCTTCAAAATTTCAGACACAAAACCAGGGGCTTATAGCCTATGGTTTTTTGCTTTAATTGGTAACTTTGAAATAAATCTTTTATTGCCTCATTGGGTTGAAAAATTTTGATTTTAATGACTTGTAGAATATTCCCCTTGTTTTAATGAATTTGGTAATCACAAGGAAGTAGGATCATATTCAAGTAGTGGGACATATTCTATGCTTTTCCATCTGTCCCAAACTTACGCATGATTGCAACAGGACCCATTTTTAAATTTGGGCCTGCGTCAAATCTAGCCTAAGTCTGTTAATAAACTTAGTATCCAAATTTAGCTCTACCCTAAGCGACCCAAATTAACTTAAATTCGAGTCCTAGTTATTTGACTAACAATTTTCTTTATCTTTCATATCAAGCAAAACCTTAACCCTAATGAATATTTTTCCGTTGATGTATGAGAGATATATATAAATATCTCAAAACTCATAAATATTTTAAAAATTTGGACGTCTAAATTAATTTTCTAAAAAAATGAAAGGGTTTAATTTTTTTTTAATTAAGGTCTAATTAAAATTTTCAAAAGTTTTAAAAATGGTAATGCTTTTAGAAAGTATGGTGGAAAAATGATTTTTAAGTGATTATGAAATGTGTTTTTAGATTGTTTTATATAAAAATTGAGTATTTAATGTTGTTAAAAAAATCTTCTAATTAAATAAAATATTTATTTTAGATATTACCTTTTTAAATATAAATAATGATGGAATAAATGAGGACAAATGAATAATTTTAATCAAGTTCTTAAGTGAAATTTTTAATTTTTCAAAACCACTTTTCAAACTAAGTTGAAAAGTAGGCCTAAAAAGTTGAATGATTAATATTGTTTCTAACCTCAAAGCAATTTTGAGAGGGGAATTAATTAAAATTTGGAGGAATGTTGTATCCAAACTCTATAAGGTACATTAGGGGTACATCAATTTGACCTAGGTAGGAATGGACATAGTTCGGGCCGAGTTATATTTTTGGTCAACCCGATTTTATTAAAAAATATATACTTTCCACCTGAAACTCGATCTGATCTGAGTTTACGGATGACTTCATCCGACTCAATCTCAACCCTTGATTTTTTAAGATAAAACCCTAATCCAACCCGAAATAAATATATTTATAAAAAATACTATTTTTATTCAATAAAAATAGGGATAGTTGAAAAAAATAATATATAGAGGATTATTATAATAATTATTCTTAACTATATAAAGTAAATTTACATTATTTTTTGGGTTGGATATTTTTCATCATAATCTGAACATGTTTTTTTTATAAAAAATTCGACCAAATCCAAACCTAAATTTCTTTTAAAAAAAATTCAATCCTATAAAGTCAGAATAAGTCGGAACCCTTCGAATTCGGATATCATGCCAATCCCTAGACCTAGGCATTCAACTGGGAGTGTGCAGTTTTGGTACTCCTCTACAAGGTACTTTGAAGGACAGCCCAACATTACATTAAACAAGTAAAGGGTCTAGTTATACATACAGATGTGGATGCGGTTGTCGTGGTTAAGGTCTATACCACGAATCTTACCTACATACAACACTTGAGCTGCTCTATCACTCTCAACTCTTTCATATGGATACGACAAATGCTTAACTCTAAATTAAACATTTATATCTTTGTGTTTATAATTATAGGTCTGTATTTTCGTAAAGGGTTAGTGTTTAGAAAACTGGTATAAGGTTAGTCGACCACACATGCAAATTATATATATATATATATATACACACACACACACGGATAAGCATAGTTGGGCTTTTTCGACAACCCAATCAAATCCAATAAAAATACACTTTCTTTTAATCTAAAATTCAATTTGACTTGAGTTTAAAGTGATTTTACCCGACTATATATACACACACAGATATGCATAAGTTAAGTTTGGTTTTCGACAAACCCAATCGGGTCCAACAAAAATACACTCTGTATTCGAAATTCGATTTGACTCATTTAAAGTGATTTCACCTGACCCGATACATATATATATATATATATATATATCTTAATTTTATTAAATATAATAGAGATATAATTGAAAATAATATATATATATATATATATATATATATATTATTGTAGTTATTATTAAATATATAAAGTATAATTACATTATTTGTTGGATTGAACCGCGTCAGAAATTTTCACCTAAACTCAAACCCAACCCAACCCAACCAAAATTTATACTCCAGAAAATCTATTTGACTCGACCCAACTTGAACTTAAGTTTTAAAAAATTTGACCCAATAAGGTTATTTCAGGTCGGAACTTGTTGGGTTCAAATCTTATGTTCATCCTTATATATAGTTATGTTCTAATAGTCAGCGGCGGATGCAAAGCATATTCAGGGTGGGCACTTGTTTATCTTGGAATTCAAATTTTTTATATTAGTTGTATATTTTACTATAAGTGCCCACCCTGAAATTTTATTTGTGTCAATCTCATACAAAAAAGTTCAATTATTAATATGTGTGTGTTCACCTTAAAAAATATTTATGGACCGACCATGACTAATAGTGATTGATCTTGATAACACAATTTTTGAGTTTATTTAAATTTAAAAAAATTAAGGTAAAAATTTAATTTGATTTAAGTTTAAATTGATAAAGACTTGAAATATTATTAGATACTAAGTTTTAGGAAGGCCATCCCTAATCCTTCCCACTTTTTCATCCCTAGTCCCTTCCACTTTCTCTTTTTTTTTTCTTTTAATCATTTTAATAGTATTAGCAATATCAAACTTATTGATTAATTATTTTAGAATAATTTTTTTATAGAAACAATGAATTTAGATCAAATCTTTGATCTTGACTATGATTAACTATCTATTGGAAGAAAAATAAGTATGATTACATATGAACTTTATTTTATGAAAGTCCAATAACTGAAGTTTGATGGTTTAACTTGATAAAATAAAGTTCTGTACATTTTAAAGATGGCCAAACAAAAGCTTCCAAATTTGTATAACGTAAACTAATTAATTAAGAAAAAAAAGTATTGGTTAAGGTTTGGGTTTTCATGAAATGATATTATGATATCAATCATTTTAAAAATCATGTCATAATCAATCAAATTATATTTCTATATTCTAATAATATAATCTCTAAATGAAATAATTTGACGGATTAATCAGATATTAATTCAATAAAAGTAATACTAAAAAAACTCTAACACAAAATCAATATGTATCAATAAATAAATTATTTATTATTTTATATATAATTATTTATTAAATAAAGTTGTATAAATATATATTTTTACATAAAATATGTTTCAACGGCCTTGACTACGTGTGAGGAAAATTAAATTTTATCCTAAATTAAAGGACTTATATGAAATTAAGCCTAAAATGAAGACTAATATTAAAACCTAGCCTTTTTTAATAGTTTATTGAATCGAATAATTAATTCAAAACCTCGAGCATAAAAGTGAGGGCCAAACTAAAAATTATCCTAAATTAAAGGGCTAAAGGTGAGATTAAACCTAAAATGAATGCTCTAATATTAGAACATAACCAATTTTAATAGCTTATTGAATCGAATAAATAATTCAGAGCCACGAGCATAAAAGTGAGGGCCTAATTAAAATTTCTTCTAAATTAAAGAACTAAAGATGAAATTAATTTAAAATGAAGAATCTAATATTAATCTTAATTAATTTTAGCAATTTATTAAATCAATTAATTAAAATGGAATCTTGGGCATACAAGCAAGGATCAAACTAATTATTCTCCTAGATTAACTAAGTTTAGGGACTAAATTACAATGAACCTAGATTTAAGGACTAAATCTAAAATCTAAGTAATCAAACTAGGACTAAATTAAAGTAAAGTAGAATTATCAACAAAAATTGAAAACAATCAAAATACATAAATGGACTAAATTGAAATAATTTAAAATACATAGTTGAAATTAAAACACATCAAACAAAGGGACTAAAATGAAAGAGAATAGAATGTAAGGAATAAATTAAAAAACATAAAAATAAAAAATTGTAATTTAAAGGAATAAAATTTAAAAAAACCTGGAAATTAAAATTCTAAAAAATCAAAGGAAAATGTAAAATAATAGAAATTGAAATTGCATAAAATTAAAGTCAGAGGTTGAATTTTAATATTTTACCTATACCATAAATAACACGAGTCATGCCCCAAGACGGGTCACCGCAAGGTCGTATGATTAATTTTTTTGATAATTTGAAATTTAGTAGTTATGCATTAAGATTTTATCCTATTCATATATAATACGGGTCATACCTCGGGACGAGTCATCGTAAAACTGAATCGAGTGCTTGTTGCAATAGCATTAAAAGGTCAATGGTCAAAAAAAGGAAAATTGCATAATTAGTATACATATTTGAATTAAACTAATCAAAAAAAGAGACGGGAACCAAAATGCAAAAATGCAGATAAATTAGAAGGATTGGTGCGCGAATAACCTAAAAAGTTTAGGTTTAAATCCTAACTTTTTTTTGTTTTCAATAACTTAACCTAAACCCTAAAAACCCTTTCTGTTTTTTAAGTTTTCCCAAATCTCCTCTCATCCCCACTGGTTGAAAATCTCAGAAGCCTCAAGCTTCTCGTTGGCTACCATACTTTGGTGGTCATTTCTCACTCCGAACGTCATCCCAAACGATCGAGGGAAGCCTAGACATACCCAAAACGAACCTAACACTTCAATTTCCTCTTCTAGCCTTTCTCATCCCTTCGATCGAACCCCTTGTGTATTTGTTACCACAATAAATTGGCCTTAAATCATGTTCTGACCACTATCAATGGAGGTCGGGCAACCTAAAACCTAAGCTAATAAGACCCAAACTCCATCTTTTTTTT